ATCATTTGCAGGTACACCAGGTTGATCAGACCAGGGGATTCATGTCAAAACTCTTGTGATGGATCCCGGCTCCTTCTACTGGAAGACATACTGTAAGCTTTGAAGGAAATCAGCAGCAAAATTGACAACAGTGAGGTCCCTGGCATTTACACATATATACTGTAAAGCATACTGTAATTAACACTGGTTCCAAAGCACCGTAACCGCTTCCGTCATTTGTGCCCAATCTCATCCCGAGATGGAATGAGATGAATCTCTTTGGTTGACAACCAAGAGAGGTCAAGTGACCTTATAGGACCCCACTGGTACCTATGGTATAGTCTATAGGGTCATTCAACCTCTGTTGGAATGTGAGGATTTCACCAAATTTTCCGTGTCTCATCACCTTCATTCTCACCAACGGCTCCACCTTTCATCCGGTTAGCTGTGCATATATCAAAGAGCCACTGACAAGGCAGTACCGCTTGGGCTGAATATCTATACTTGCATTGATCCCGGTACCACCCCAATGTAGGTATATATGCCATACAGAACCACATCCATCCATGGAGCGTGCGGGATTGGCAAGGCGCTTGGGCTGAATAGGATGGCAAACCGACCAAAAGCGACGCCACTTCCCTGGGGTCCCGGCCGATGTGACCTTCTCGATCGCGGACATAAAAACCTCGGCCACGCAAATGTGCACCGCGCATCCAGGGTGAGTTCTATATATATATATGTGTATTGCTGCAATATGACTGCCCCCAAGATCTTTGACTTCAATCATTTTTTTGCTTGCTGAGAGGCTTCCTTCAACAGGAACACCGGCCTCGAACAGTTTCTTTCACTCCAAGAACTCTGGTTCGACTCCCGTCCCGATCCCTCCCTTCTCGTAGCCATGGGCTTTTCCATGAAGGGGAACACAGGAAATCTCACAGGATGTCCATGGGATTAGGGCCCAGCCCAACCAAAAACCACCGGAATTCCTGCCATCCGGGCATACCAAACTTGGGGGGCACTAAAGAGATTCTCCCGACAACAATTATGCCGCAACAACCCACTTGGAGTGAACATAGTGAATCTTCTGAACAAGTTGAGGGCTCAAAAGCAACGTTGCCACTGGGAGTTCTTCCTGCAAGTGTCACAGTGTTGCAACCGGGTCTCCAATGATTACAAAGGAGTCCGCTTGCGGCTTTCTTTCTCTCGAGAAATTCGAGGGGTTCGAGAAGTTCGAGACATCACTTCATCCCTGGTCCAAAAGCATAAAAAAGCACCCCTGCTGGCTCCGTGGAGGGTCGCATTGAGCTATCCAAACCCTAGGGATCCACTGCCACCTGGTGGCGCCTACATGAAAAGGTGTATTTAACAGAGCACATGACCTTCTCAAAGGGTATGTGGATCCATAGGGGGTTATTGAACCTCCCCAAGAAATCCAACAACCAACATGGGATCGAAACACGTGAAGCTACCCCACACCCCCATCGTTGCTTGCGTGTGCTTTTGGCCTAAGGCACATCTGCAATGATGGCAACCCCAAGGAAGCAGTAGATCAAGCCCAGCAAGTACAAGAAGATCTGACAAAGCTCAGTCGAAGCCCCAGGAAGTTTCCACAGATCAAGTGTAGCGGCAGCTCAACTACGCCGCAAAACAGAGTGGCAAGTGGGATTCAACCAGGTACTGCAGAATCCAAGCACTTTCACAAGCGCAGTGAAGCGCAGCGCCTAAGCAAAAAATCCAAACACTAGGACAAAACACATGCTGACTTGGAGTGGACGTAGCTCCTGGTTCCAAACAGCGTTCGTCAACACTCGCCCAAATAAAATTTATATAAAAGGCTACAGCCATGTTGACCGTTGATTGGCTAACTAAACCCTCAAATTCACCTCAATGTGGAAATGATTGACAATTGACCAGCCTGCTGAATACACATATAATTATACATAATGTATAAACATGTATAAACATACATACATAAACCATGGGCGGTGATTCAACCAGAGTCGACAGTATGGCCAAAGAAAGTCCCCAGTGGCTCATACAACTCATACCGAGTCCCTAGCAATCCACTGCCGCCTTCTCAGGTTTGGTACGGCTGGGCTAGACCTTCGTGGCGCCTACATTAAACAAATCATAAAAGTGTAGAACACATCACCTTCTCAAGGGTGCCAATGGATCCAATCAGGGACTGACTACACTGAACCATCGAAGAACCGGTGGCCACCGTGGTCAACGGCCAGCCGACCACGCCGGAACTCGAGCACCGCCTTCAACTCGCTGGGCCACATCTCGGAAGGATCCAAGAAGCGAAGCCATCGGGGGTTGAGATGTTCCTTGAACCTGGTTCCGCTGGTTCATCCATGTTCATCCTGGTTCGCAATCCAAAGCAGGCCACAGATGAAAGGGGTGGGATGCCCTATGTTTGGGGGTCGAAACCGGACATCCCAGTCTTCTTCCCAACTCATAGGCAGATTTTTTAAAGACCTAAACCTCAGGGAAGTGTATTTTTGAAATTGTTAAGTGCAGGGCGGTATTGTGGACAATGAATGAAAGAACAATGTTCTTACAACGTCTCAACCATCCCGCCATATCCCACCTATTCATACTTGCAAAGGTGTTACAAAATATTTAAAGCACGACGGGCTCCCTTTTGAGAAAATGTGCCAAGCGTATCCCAGCGTCACATACATTAAAGTGGTTCAAATCACTCAAACATCACCACCCGTTTGTCCGTGTCCAAGGATGTCCGTGTTCAATGACGTGAGCCTAGAATCGTAACGAATCTTTCCCCTGGACAGATTGGACATGTTGATGTTAATTGTTGTGCATGTTGTTGCGATGTTTGTGTCATTTGCTTGGCATATTATGTTTGTCATTTCCAGATTTGCTACGCAGTTGGTCATTTCGGTGTCATTAGTTTTGTCTTGCTCTTTTGCCTTCATTTGTTCTCTCTGGGGGGTTCCGGGGTTGTGTAAATGTTGTTTGTTGTTGCATCATTGCCGTGTACAATGCCATGCTGCTTGTGGCCACACACTTTGTTTATGTCCCCATTTGCATGGATCCATTTCATCTGACCTGTTGGATTGCGCGTTGGGCGTGGTGGTCCCTGGGGTTTTGTGGGCAAACCTTCTGGTTTAGTTTTGTGTCAGTTGGTCAGTCATAGCCAGATCATAGCTGTCAATTTTGTAATCCTCTGTGTCATCTTCTTGTCACTCTTCTGTCAGGGTCTGAGCTGCAGCCCAGGCCATTTTCTTGATATGTCACAGCTTTTTGTCACATGTTTTTCATATGTTGTTCCATTGTGTTTGCCTTCTTTGTCCAGTCACCCCTGTCACCAAAGATACGACTCCCACCCACCCGGCTGCTTCAACAGGGCCCCCGGACGGCTTCAGCATCACCACCCAAGGGAAGCCATAAACCGCTGCCACCTCGGTCGGTCGGATCCGTTCCGAGCGGTTCGGATCCGTGAAGCGGAACGGAGTCGGGCAAGTCGGGCTCGACTTCGCTCGATTGGGCGCTTCAGTTAGATCTCCAGTGCATGGGTGGGGACGGGGCTGGGGAGGGAAGATGGAGGGGAGCGAGACGGGAGGCGCATGTTGGGCAGGTCCATGCACTGAACATCCGTTGGACCCAATGGGAGCTGCCAGACCCGACCCAAAACGTCCGACCCAAAACCGGAACCTCGTCCTCGTCCTCGTCCGTCCAAAGCCGTGGCTCCCCACCGACCTCGCAAATGCCCGGCTCTTCTGCCGTGGTGTTGTTCATGATGCCGCGGCCCACCTGGTGCTTCGGTGCCAGGTCCCGTCTCATTCCGCGAAGCGTCTGAGTCTCCGCCCCGAATGGCATGGAAAGGGGTTCTTCGTCGTCGGGCCCGCCGAAAGGAAGCATCTTAGGAGGGGCAAAAGGCATGAATTCCTTGCAGTTGGGTCAATTCCTCCAAACCGTCACCAAACGATGTGAAGTCCGGCACCATGCCACATGCCTATCGTGGAGATACGAAAAGCAAGGAAGGCGCCTCTCTGCGGAGGTGCACTGTTTGATCTTCAGATCGGTTAAAATCGATCCCGTCTGAGCCACACGTCTGCGGGCATGGAGCACTTTCCGCAATCTCTGGGCGAAGCCGCCGGTCGAGTCAGATCTTCCAAGACTGGCTGACCCATGGCTGCTAGTTACTGCGCAGGTCCTCGAATTTTTAGTTTCAAATCCTCCACATCGAGAGGTAACTGCTAGAATCTAGAAGAACTCTTGAGGGGAATATGATCAACGACTTCACACTATATTCATTTCAGTGATCTGCAGGATATCTCAGGTCATGCGATCGACCCACGATTGATCTTGTTTACTTGGAAGATCTTGGAAGAGTTCGGCGGAACCAGGAGATTCGTGAAGATGGGACGTTTCCTTCGATCACCCTGGGCCCCACCGCGCCCCCCCCGCAGTGCCGGTCAGCACCCCCTTTCTCTCGCTGGTCAGCCGGTCGAGACCAGGGCCGCCTCTGCGTCCACCAGTGCGATGAGCGACGTCGGGCTGAGGAACGGATGGAGAGACCCAGGACCAGATGGGGAGAAGCAGGACCAGGGGAGTTGCGGCGGAACCAGGCAGAACCAGGCGATTCGGAAAGCTCAACCAAGCAAAGCACAGCAACAGTCCGATTCCACACGACTCATCTGAGGCCCCAAGGAAAATCCTGAAAACATCTGAAAACCCTCGAAAGTTTTTCGACCGAAAAACAACGAAAACACGGCCGGTTGTGTTGGGCCTCCAAAGCATACAGTTGACGTTTCACCCACCCACATACAGTCTTGATTCACCAACCACCCCCCCAAACATGGATTGAACAACCTCTTCAGGCTTGGGGGGTTTGAAATATCATCAAAAATCGGGCTCCAACCTCATATCCTCAGGTGGTTAGACCCCCCTGGCACCCACCCTAACCACCTTAGGATATGAGGAGGTAGTTGGAGCCCTAGAGTCTAGAGAATCTACACGAGTCGCATACCCTTGGCATCACATTCACACGAGAACCGCCTCATCGGAGTCCATCCACTTCCACCTCACACGACTCACACGTGACGCTGTGAGCTTGCCGTCAGGGAGTGAGTTGGAGTGTGACTTAGCCCGTGAAAAATGTCAATGTCAAATAAGTGTTCAATCACCTAGGCCCTAGGCAAGTGCAAACTGAACATGAAGAAACCTTTTGATGCTTGCAAGTGTATTGCTGTAATACAAAAAACCGTGTGTGTGAGGCACTGCACGAAAGCATGACCCGATTTCCACATTGCAGCGGGACACAGTGTTGGCACGTTTGCGTAGCCCATGCCAGCATGACAGCATGTCGGCACAGTACAGTATAGTAAGTCAGCATGACAGCTTGCTGGCTGAAGACCCCTATACTAAGCTTCGGCGTTGGGGACTCATGTTACCTTTAAACTGTGTAAAAAAAAATAACACTAGACTATATATATATATATGCAATGTGTCATCTCATAATATGAAAACTCCATTAAAAAACATGCCCTTCTCTTTGTTCTCTGGGATCCCGTTGGTTTTCATGGCGGCTCTCCTGAGACCGACCAAGCTGCCGAGATAATTTTTTGACCGACATTGCATATTGCATAGGAAAACCCATTCGGCACATCTCCGCCACCCCCCGTGATCGAAAGCTGGTGTCACCCGGCACCAAAAGAAAAACGATCAATGAAACCTAGGATCCCTCCAAAATATTACATGCCAAAGCGCGATGTCTTCATGTAGGATCTACAAACTTGCCAGTGCTTTCACCTGCTAATCCATGGGCTGCCCCCACTTTCGGCCGTCCGAGGGTACCGGCATCTGTCTCCAAGTCCGCCAGCATCGCCTGCGCGCGGGATACGCCACCATGACATCTGCCCGTCCAGGAGCTGGGAAGTACTGACCGGAAGGGGGTTCACCATGGTTCACCCAAAGGGAAAAGAATTACGGCCAGCATAGGATATTGGGTTGAACCCCCGTGGCAGGACGCCAGCATAGGATCCACACGCCAGCATAGGCCCCAGATAGCAAGTAGGATATTTGTGGACAGTACCGTGGCAGCGCTCAGCGAGCACTCCGGCTGGCACGCTGGCACTCGCGGCCAGACCCATCTCTCCCAAGCGCACACTTTTGGGACCTCTCGCAGGAACGGGCCGAAACAAAAGGGCCGCCGGGGCCGCTAGGAACGTGGGGTTCTTCGACAACCAGATTCGGTGGGATTCGTTGCCCGTTCCATGTGAAAGGAGTGGCCAGTTTGCTGCTTTGCTGATTCCTCCAGCCGCTTGGGATCCCTCCAATGCTTTGCTCAGTTCCGGTTTTGCCAAGCACTGCCTCTGCGCCTCAGTTCCTGCAACACGGGCACCTCGCCTCGTGTGGTCTGACACCATGTGCCATGAGGTGGAAAGATCAACTGAAGGCGGAGCTGAACCCTTGGCAACTCGGCGCACGTCTGACATAAGATGGACCGCTGGATTTTCTTTGGGGCGGCATATGTGGCTTGATGATTTGAGTGACCCTGTAGGGTGCTTACTAGGAACATGTGAAGCAGAAGGTCTTGACTTGACCTTCATTAAAGAACAGTTCAAGTTCTGTGATAGACGGCTTACAGATCGGATCTGGTCTTTCACGCCAACAGGCACAGCCCCCCCAACGGCCGCGCCACACATGGACTTGGACCAACAAGGCATCGATGGCAAGAGGGCCAACAGAATGGAGATCAGGAGATCTCGTAACCGCTGGTGATGACCTAAAAACTCAGCCACTGATGAGCCCAGTGTTGTGTTGTGTTGTGTGGTATAGTGATTTCTTGCACTGAACGCAGCGGTTTTCTCTCGTATCAAGTCGTCGCCGTTGGTTCAAGTGCCCGCTCCTCGGTTTATCTGGGTTCTGCGGGTGTCGGAAAGTCAAGGGTCTCGCTTCTGCAACCTCTAGATAAGCACAAATGCATGCAGACCCCAAACTCCTTTCAAAAGGCGTTCATGGTTCCATTGCCAGAAAAGGGACAACCCCAAGGTACAAATTTACGGTGGTTTACTACGCGTTGCACATTGTATAATTACTTGGAAGGGCAAGCAGTCAATGCAAGTGCATGCCCACTTCCTGAAACCCACGCACTCTATGCGACTGGACTATGTGCCGCCAGGAGCAAGTGCCAAACTCCAAGATTGGAATTTGAAGTGAATCCACTGCTCCCAGGGTGACTCGTGTCACTCCTGTGTCTCCATGTTTATCTTGAATGGCACCAACCAGGGATACCGGCAGCCAACCGGACAGTCCATCATGCACCAATATATGTTCTTCCTGACGAGTAATCTTCTCAGCCGATCCTTCACGCTGCAAGCTTTGACAGGGAAAATGCATCAAAGACAAGGACCCATCCTTCCCCATTGGCCAAACACTTGATGACACGAGCGACGCGATGGTTCTTTGCGGTCACTAGCGAGTGACCTTAAAACCAATCACTGACTCGGGCTTAGTAGAGAATGGGGGAATGGATCCTAAGGTATCTATAGTGGAGGGTCATTCCTTCGAGTCGCACCAGTCAGATCTGTAGGGTGTTCTTTCCTACATGTTCCCCGCATTCTGGAGCATCGCTCCCCTTGTTTCGTGGCTTGCACGCCCGCATTCTGTTCCGTGCTAAGAAGGCTAATGGAAGACTAGTCTGCTTGGTGGTTCCAGCGAAACACGAAACAACAACAGTATGTCAGTGGGTTCAATCATCCCAAGTAAAGGTTGAAACAGTACTGATTTAAAAAAAAAACAAAAAAACATGAAACCACCACCCAGGCAAGAAGCTACTAGGAACAAAGGGCATCGCTACTAGGAGCAAGAAGCTACTAGTAGCTCCTGGCATTACTGCTGGGAGCAAGAAGCTACTACTAGCTAGTTGCTACTAGTAGTAATGCACTTGTTACTAGTAGCGATGCACCTTGCTACTAGTAGTAAGGACGCTACTAGGAACAAAAGGCCCCATTGGAATCCCTTGAGACCCTTTTCGGCGCCTCGACCGCTGCAGTTCCTTTGGCAGCTAGCGATGCACGGCAGAAGAGTGTGGCGCCTGGGGAGTTGGAAGTTGGGAGGACACAAGCTGAGCCAATGTGAGCGCCAGTCATCAATCCGGGTAACTACATGTAACGACTGGCTATGGTTGGGACTTAAGTCATGATTTGATGTGGTTAGACAGGGTTCTGAAGATGGTCTTTTCCTGAAATGTTGCTTCCTATGCCCTATGCTTAACTGCCAATCCGATGGGACAGGGAGTGAGCAAAGCCTATTCAAAAGCTCTTATGGCCCAAGGTCGAAAAATAAACAGATCTTCGCGGAGTATCTAAGTGCCTGCCCACTTTTACTTTTTTTCCTCTTCAGAGCTGGATGGAGTTTTGGAAGCATACCGTGGTTGTCCTGTCAACTCAGCTGGTGCAAGCATGCTTAATTTACGTTCGGATACCCAAATTAGAAGAAGCCTGAACTCAATCTCCCTCACGATCATACCGTGCCCCTCCAGTGTAGGCTTATGAAGGCATAGTACCTTTCCATCAAGTGCAAAGCAACCAGCACAACATTCTACTCTCCACCCTCTTGCCCCTGAGTGCCCGGCGTTCGCGCCGGCCCAGTGCACGGTAGGCCAAGCAAAGATGGTATAACCCTGGAGCGCGTGCCTCGGTGTTTTCGAGCCTGACCCGTCGTGAGATGGTTGGTTCAACAACATGTAACAGCTTGGCATTTTATGTGTTCCCATTTCCCATGGCCTTTGCAATTTGCCTGGGCTGCTTGTTGACTCTTGTGATGCTGTTGAGCACCATTTGGGATATACGGATGATTCATCCTGGATGGTACACCGTTCACCCTGTAAATCATAGGATTTCCATGTGAGGCTGGTGCCGGAGCTTACCTATTAAGTTTTCTCGCCCTGACTTTGAATACATCGAATGCATGCTTCCTGACAAACATATGACACCGAGAAAGATCAACAAAGGTTTGCAAACAAGCAATCTTTCCAAAACTATACATATATATCAAGTGGGCATACACTCCATCACTGTCACCATGTCTGCGAAAATGTTCTTCTAGTTGGACCCATACCTACGTTATTATATACATTACAACAGATCTGTTGTAGTAGGAAATGACAATGTTTTGGCTCCAAATCAGGGGTCAATCAGGTTCCAGGTGTTTGTAAATACTTCCAACACCCATGCCCATGATGGTCGGAATGTCGATGGCAATGGACTATGTCAAAGTGGGCTGGGCTTGGCTGGATCTACTGCAACATAGGGCCCCGAGCCGACTCCACTGCTGCATCCCAAGGAGCACCAGCCTGACACCATTGAAACTATGCATGTTGGAACCCTAGGGAACCTACACAAACCTATACATCTCAAGGGTCATGACTTATCTACAACAAACCCACCAAGACCTGTGGTTTTCCTATGTGTTCATCAACCCCGTTGTTTTCAGTGAATCTGTGGGCCCATCCTCAGTAGCGCCGGTTCAGCCATGTTCAGCCTCGTCTGAGACCCCGGCTTCGTTTGGTTCACAACAAGTTCGACCGTTGGAGTTCAGACTCACCCGACAGCCACCCCCCAGCCGCGCCCCAGCGTCTTCCCTCAAGCATGGCATCAACTTAGGTGAGCCCAGGTGAGCCACTCTAAAATTCGAATCGACGTCTCTGGTCTGCACTTGTTGGTCTGCTGTCTATGCACCCACCTCCAGCACAGTGGTAGCTTCCTGTGCTCGCCCCAGCCTCAGATCGGCGAGAGTTGATTCAACTCCTTCGTCTCCGGAGGTCGATTATGTGCCATAAACCATGCCCGAGGCACGGGGATGCAACAATCGAACAATCAACAAAGAAAACATTAAAACCATGTGCATCTGATAGCATGACTTTCCACAAGTCCATGCAATTGACATGCGTTCTTTCATTGGAATCTCCAAGCTACGCGTCCGAGTTCTCCAAGCTACGCGTCCTCCCCAAAGCTACGGTGGTGCTACGCTTCGCATCGCATCGACCAACGACGGGCGCCCGAGCTGGAGCAGCAGCCCACCATAGTTTGCCTGGAAGATGCAGAAAAGAATGAACAGAATGGTCTGCATCTGTAGAAGAATTGTCTGAAGGATTTGTAGAAAGACATGGATACGGGGCGGCAGGCGGCCTGAATTTGGACCGGTGGTCCAAAGAGTCAAAGGGTCGCATGGGTGGTAAGTTGTAAATCAAACAGTGGTGTCCTCCACCCCTTTCAGTCGGGGCGCGCAAAAGCTGTCGAGGGTGTCCTTTGGGTGAACCTGTTGGAGTCTCTATGCCCAACGCACCCTAGGTGGTTATATAGATGCATGCAACATGCATGCATTTTTTCTTATGAGTGCGGAGAATTACAGTGCCTGTGGGATCCTGTGGGCCCTTTCATCTGTGGTTCCTTTTGTGCTCGTGTGCCTTTCTCGAAAGACGTGACCAGTTTCCTGGCCAATCTGATTGGGCCACTTGGGGTCCTGGAAAATAAACATCGCCAGCAAATACAGTATTTTGGGCACCTCTTTTCCATCACGCTTTCCAGGCAAGGTTCCTGGGCACCCCAGATAAGTGATGTTCTCCCCCATTTCTGTTCAAGGTTCCTGGACAAAGGTTTCTGATGTCCAGAAAAGTGATGTTCTCACCACGTCTCTTTGCTTTTCACACTCTTCTCCTGTCCGGGCACCTGGACTTTGGCAAGCTCCGTCATGGACGGCTGGCAGTTGCCGCACCGCTTCACGTCGGCCTGGGCCACATGGCAAGCAGCAGGTACTGAGGGTCAAGCATGAATCTACCCCAAGAGGGCGGCCCTAAAATGCACCAACCAGGAAGTGGAGATTCACTGAATCACATAATTACATAAATTATATATATAGGTTCAACCTCACTTGCAACAAGGCCTGTTTCAACATGTTTTTACTATATAATATAGTTCCTCGAAGGTCAACCTCACTTCATCTCATGTCATGGCAATTTTTTGCGTTCACTGTGCGGGGTAGTACATGCGTTCATTGCTGGGTGGAATAGTACATGCGTTCACTCCTGGTGACATACACAAAGCCATCCGCAAAACGACCCCCCTTGGCCTGGTTGTCCGTGGTTTCCTTTTTGAAGCCGCAACAACAACAACAGCAACAACAACCAACAACAACAACAACAACAACAACAACAACCAACAACAACAACAACAACAACAACAACAACCAACAACAACCAACAACAACCAACAACAACAAACAACAAACAAACAAACAACCAACAACCAACAACCAACAACAAAAAAAACAAACAACAAACAACAAACAACAAACAACAAACAACAAACAACAACAAACAACAACAACAACAACAACAACCACAACCACAACCACAACCACAACCACAACAACAACCACCACCAACAACAACAAACAAACAAACAAACAAACAAACAAACAAACAAACAACAACAACCAACAACAACCAACAACAACAACCAACAACAACCAACAACCAACACAACCACAACAACCACAACCACAACCACAACAACAACAGCAGCAGCAACAGCAACAGCCACAACCTCTGGAACAGGAAACAAGCCGCACCCTGCTCCGCGCGCATTCGAAAACACCCTGCTCTGCCCACCTCCACGGCCCGAACAGCTCGGCGATACCTCGGATCGGGCGAGGTGAGCGTGCTCGGGCCGAGGTCGTGAGGTCAGAAGCTTTGGATTAGACGGCGGCGACACCCGGCCTACAGTGCCCCTAAGTACCCCCCACAGTAGGTACTATAAGACCTAAGTACCTACTGTAGTACCTGTGTGTAACTGTAGGGCCTAGAGTGCCCACACCTACAATAACATCCTCAGCAGGTGGGCCAAAGGTGTCTAACATGGACTCTCCCGGGCAGGATGTAGGCCAGGAGCCCTAGGGAACCTGAGTGAACTCTATCTGTTTTGGATCACCGACCACTAAAAACAAAGACCGCATAGCAGGTTTCTCAGTGGAAGTGGCTTGCCATGGCTTGCCTAAAGAATATTCTCATCCTTCTCCTCATCAAGTGTCCTTTTACTATTCTTGCCATCTTTCATCATTGGGTTGTTTGAGGTGGGACGGACATATGATGATCTCGGGCGGTGTTGCACCTTTTGGACGATGGACATGGCGGGTGGGGAGGTGGTACGTAAGAACGCTTTCGTGACTTCGAGGTGTTGCGCTTTCGATCGATCACTTCGGTGCATTCCTGCTTAGACCAAACGCGGCAGTCGGACTGCGCAGGACACGTGTCACGTGTGTTGCGTGCTAAAACCTTGCTTTTAGGGTTTGAGATGGCTCGTATAATCATAGATAATTGGCTTGAGGGCTGCGGCCTCCTTGACTGAGCCTGTGAGGCCCATGTGCATGTCTAGGCTTCCTGTCACGAATGTTCGGATCACAACAATGGAACCAGTAATGGAACCCCTATAGACTCAGTCCAAAATCATACAAAAGGTGCGACTCTAGACCCCAAAGGTTTGCCGCAAAACTCCGGTAACCTGCAAAGAAGGGCGTGATCCGATTTTGTGCGCTGGCAAGGGACAGTGCAATCGGATGGAACTCTGACACCGTGCCACTGGGCTGGGATGGACAGTGCGTCCAGAGGATGGTGCATCATCACGCAAAGCAATGCAAAGCACATGAGTGATGACTTTTTCGCACGGTCTTATCAAAAATCCTTTTCTCAAGTGCAGCGCGATCGGCGGCGAGAAAATGCAACCGTGCCGCGAGCGAAGCATCATGAAGCACGTCTTAGGATACAGTATGTCTCCAAGCCATTAATGCCCAACGATTGATTTGCAATGTTTCGCAAGGTCCAGTGCAAGAAGAATAACATGTGGGCAAAACAGCATTAACCGCAAACCTGCCCTCATGATTCATCTTAGGAGGTAGCTCAAATCAGAATGGCAGCCATGTCACCTCAAAAATGTTATTGGGATGGGATGCATCTCCAAATGAACAGATTTACAACGAAACCCGCTTCTGGGGCAGGTTGATGCCAGATTGGTCTAATCACCTTCCAAGCCAACAAAGCAAAAGCGTATTTCACAGTATCGACGTGCTCGTTTCACATATTCATATTCCATGGAGTCGGCGTACAGTAGCCTTATTGAATTTTCTTCCACAGCACAAGAACATAGCAAGTTCAAAAGAATATGCTAAACAATTAAGGAATTAAGGGTCTTAAGAATAATATAAACTTAGAATTACAAGTGTAATCAAGTATATACATAAATAGATAGAGAGACAGAGAGAGAAAAAAACAAGATCAAGAGGGCACCCTTGTAATACATGAGCGGCAAATATGCTGTTTTATCAATTTTTATCACACAAGCAAAATACAATTGAGTTGGCCTTATCTGTTTCAAGGTGTTGCATGTTTGTCATTGATCAATGCGGGGGTTGGCCCCGATGAGCTAGGTAGACATCGGTAGCTCAAACACCTGCAAGTACAATATGCTTACAACAAACAGTGGACCAACAAAAACACCACGCCTGCAAAGCACCCATCATGTCACCATGCCAGAACAACCGGATCAAGTTGGAAAGTTCTCTTGAAGCTTGGTTCAGAAAACAGCCAAGGTCAAGCGTGCCAGGCTAGGCTCCTCACATGCCTTCCGCTTTGGTAGGATGTTTCAACCTGGAGGATTGCCAATGACATAATGTTCATTCGTGTCTGCTGTAGATGATGCAAGAAGCGCTCAGGAAGCAAATGAACCAAGAGCACAGTGTTTGTCTGGCACATTGCCACTTACTTCCGTTCGGTCATTAGTAAGATCAGAAACGGCACCAACCTTAGCTTCCCAGTGCCGGTCGGCTTCTTTTCTTATGTCGCATGAAGGGGGAGTCACATGGCACCTTCAAGTGGATCTTAGTGGATCTTTTGGTTGGAGAGAGCCGCCATCACAGCCACTCTGGTTGCAACTTTTCTTCTCAGTTGGGCAGCCACACTGGTGTTCCAAGGTCGCCTCAGAGCAAACGTGCTACTCACACGCCTTCAGCGGAACTCTCTGTGACTCCGCCGCCCGGCCCTCCGAAGCAGCTAAGCAGGAGTTGCTCAAGTCATTTTCTTGGTCCCTTCGTCTAATTGGACGGCCCCAGCGGAGTTGGACCATGCTTGCGGTGCCAATCAGTCTCTCTCAGTATTTGTTGTCAACGTTTCTTGAGGTTTGCTGGGTGGTCTAGTCTATCTGGAAACAAGGAACAGCCTGGATGACCCTGCCCTCGGAGCAAGAACTACTTGCTCGCGAGGATTCAATGAGAACAAGACCGGGAGACCTTGCCCTGATTCTGAGAAGTAGATCGGGACTCTGCCTGAGGAGCTGGCCAAATTCAGGAGAACGCCTCCATGATTTGGGCCTTGGCCCCCCGAACATCGGGGGCGGCATCACTCACATGTGAAGGTCCATAAGAACAGCCCAGGGCAAATAAACAGAACGGTTAATTTAACCAATCTTTTGAGTTTCTCTTCTTTGCATCTAGGACGGCTAAGACTGCTTCATGACTACTTCCAAGATAGTGTGGGAGAGTCCCAAAAAAACGGGCATATTATCATATGTCCACAAGTGCAGTGGATTGCGCGCAAGGGTTTCAAAAATCATCAATTTACAGATCCTGTCATTCAAGTGGATTGTGCACAAGGGTTGCAAAATGGTTTTACCAACGTACACATCCTGCAGCGACTTCTGCCATCTTCTGCCTATAAAACTATCTGGGATATTCCACTTGGCTCGTTCGCCCAGTTCCTCCGCCTTCACATCAGCTGGTTCGTTGGTGGACGATTGGTTCACATATGTTCACATCAGTTGTTTCATGTGCCGTCGGACAAAACATGGATGATTTCTTCAGCAATTCCAATGGTAAGCTTCCACCCTAACATATCCAAGCACCGCCATATCCAGATCGTATCCTGAACAGGTGACCGACCCAAAACGGCATGTTCATACATGTTCCGCTCCTCACCAAGCACCTGCCTTACCTTACTGAGCAGCCACCAACATATCCCAAGGACTTCAGGCAAAGGAAGCCTTGCGCAGTTTTGCCCCTGTGACTTTGGACCGTCCTGCTGCGCCACGGACGTGACCTCTTTCACCGTCGATTCCGCCGTCCACTCGATGGAGGTCGGTGGCCCACGTGCCAGTTTCTGCACCAACAACTGCACTGAGGACAGCAGGTCACACGCATCATTGCATCCGATTGCATCATCATGTTTTCCCTCTTTTCTGAGAAAAACTCCATCCCATCCATTCTCGCGAGAATGCGATGTAAGACTACTTCCTTCGATGCGAGAGTGTGTTCGTAGTTTTCATGAACGTGATGTGATCACAAAGTTCACAAGTTGCATCTAAAAATCAACCATAATCCACCCAAACGGAATGCGCAAGGCACCACTTTGGTGGGCAAGTGGGTCCAGCCACTTTTTGTACCTACTTTGCCACCAATCAGATTGAAGATCTCTTGCCAAAGCTAGATCGACTCGGCCCCTTTGGAACAAATGCTCTGGCTTGGTAGCAGGTATAGCCATACCATGTAGAAAAGAAACAGCATGACATCTGATCATCTGACATGGGAACCATTGCGGAATCCACGCAGAGTGAGGGCCAAAGCACGTGATGGCATTGTTTCTATTTTGCAGGTGCTTGGTGCCTGTGGCTGATTGTAGCAGCCTCATCTCTCCATGCACTTTCGACACAGTCTCACATTGACAACCGTGATGCTGCTGATGTTCAACCTTGGGTCATCTTCAACTTCATGCTCTCCACTGCATGCCCTGCATGCCCCTCCGTCTTTCAACACATGGTGCACCGTCCTCCGCCCGTCCTCGGGTCCGGCAGATATCCGAGTCCCCCTGCGCAGACGTAAGGCCTCGGAGAGCCTCAGCGACACTGAGGCATGGACGATGCCCAGCTGGGGAAGAGATGGGAAGAAGGATGAAGTGACTTTTGTGGCACTCCAAGATGTCAACATGCGTCCAGAACATGAAAAGAACACTTCCGAGATCTTTTTTTTGGGGGGGGTGGAACAATATTGCGTTTTTTGGAGCACCATTTAGAAGGCGAGATTGGCAAGATTATGCAAGATTGTTTGGAAGGAAACCCGGTGGTGCCCCGGTGTTCTGGTTGCTGGTGCACGTTGAACACGAGTGATGTCTCTTGTGCAATACCGCACACAGCTTGCCAGGGCAATAACTTGACGGCATGAGGTCTGCAAAGTCGGGACCGTGGAAGGGACAATGGAGACGAAACCCAGCAATTTATAGACTAGATTGATGCTAAAGCAACATCTCAGCCCTTTTTGATGCATAACCCCAAACAGGTCGTGTCGACATGGCTCTCGGAAATCGGAAAGGGACACAGCCACAGCACATGTATATTAAAAAAACATATAATAATGATAATTAACTATACATTTGAAAATACTTAGATTTAGATATGTAGACGCTGATTTGCATATTTTGCTGCCAATTTACTCCAAAAGGATGCAAAAAGGTCCTATTGTACTGTAGCAGCCATCTTGTGCTATGGCCGAAGGGCGTGGACCGGGCTTGAGACATCTGGCCCTTCTTGAGCTGTAAGGTGCCCAGGTCCTGCGACCAACGAGCGTCGACCGTCGGAAGCTGTGGGACTCACCGTGGACCGCTTGACAGGAGCTGCGGAAGCGGACCGTCACCGGTGGTCTTGCCGGTGGGTCATTCGGACATCACACAAACAACGACTTGACCATGGAAACATATTCATCTTATCATTCTCGTTTATTGCGATTGCCCTGTCGAGTTCTGCCTCTTCTGGTCAAACTCCAACTTCCCGCCGTCCTTGAGCGTATGAAACCTCGGCCCAAACATGTGCAGTCACCAGCTACACTCGCTACACTTACCTTGCCCAAGAAGTGTTCCAAGACCGATGCTGACAGCTCAGGCACCAATGACCATGGGTGTTGGAAGCCAACTGATATGGGTGTGTGAGTCGTAGCTACTGTTGTTATATCATGTTATGTCAACGCCATGGACTCAACATGAGTCAACTAACTGCACCTTGTGACACATCCAACACCATGGGACCATGTATGCACTCCCCTCTGGGTCTCTGAAGCAAAAGAACCGGGGAAGAATGCAATTTTCTTTCTCTCGCCAAGGACTTTTGGGAAAGTCTACTGTTAATCGAGTTTGCATCAAAATCATCAAACATGTGGTCCAGAACAACGTGTGATCCTCGGTGGGGTTCTGCAACCTAGGTTTGGGGTGCATTTTCCCAAATCCATCTGCCATATTCAAGCATCAAAAAATTGAAAATTTTGGTCTCCGATACCCCGGAAGGATCTTGAAGCAAATCAGCCACAGTTCCTGGTCCTTTCCGGAGATACAGTGCAACATAGTGCAACTACCAACTGGAACGAACCGGTTTTGCTCATCGACGATCATGCTATCCTGGGAGATCCTCGGGGCTCATCAAGCCTGGACCCTGAAAGGAGGCCAGAACGAAGGCCTCCGATCCAAAACTTCACCATCCTTGCTTTACGCTTGCCCTCCCCAGAGGTAGATCCATGGCTTTCCTGGATTGGTTTGCGCTCCCCAGTTTTCGGATGATCATGAAGTCGTCCAAACCGGCGGTGCCATCCACGGAAAACATATTCAAAACCAAAGGGTGTAGCTCCTTCCGCTCCTTCCCTCTCGTTTTCGGTCTTTAAGCTCAACACTCACCCGGCTGCTCTTTCAGGATGGCCTCGCAACACCAAGAATATCCGGGCAAAATCGGTGGAAACGTCTAGCCCTGTAGTCCTTTAAGTAAGGTACAACAGTCACCAGCAATGCACCATGGGGCCTAGTGTAGTATATCATGCAAATGATATACACACACACATACATATATATATATATATATATACCATCCAGGTACCTTTTGGGATCATTTCGTTGACCCCTTTGAATACCTAGTAGCAACGCAAACGCATATATCTATCTATGTTTTGTATATAGATGGCGGTGTACGTACACAAGCAGCACACGCCACAGCGACTTTCTCAACCGCTCGACGGTTCGAGTCATATGTACAGGATCGCTCACCTCACGCTCTGATGCTCCTTAGCTGGCGAGCAGACGCACCGTTAAATGCTATGTCCTTTGTTTTTGGTCAAGCAACTTTCCAATTTCTCATGTCTATTTAAAAGACCAAAACAGATGGACTTGAGGCCAGAGGGGGTGAACGAAAGCTAGCCGGGCTTCCGGTGGTCTGCTGCTGGTGCTGCTGCTGCTGGTGCTGCTGCTGCCGCTGCTGCGCTGGGCGCTGCTGCGCTGGGTGCTCTGCAGGCGCCGGGTCGTCTGCTGCTGCTGCTGCTGCTGGCGCTGGGTGGTCTGCTGCGGCTGCTGCTGCCGCGGCGTTGGGTATGCTGCTGCTGCTGCCGCCGCTGGGTGGTCTGCTGCTGCTGCTGGTGCTGCTGCTGCTGCTGCCGCTGCTGCGCTGGGCGCTGCAGATGCTTGGTGTGCTGCAGCTGCTTGGTGGTCCCGCTCACCGCGCGCAGGGGGGAGTCGAACCGCGGGGGGGGGGGGGGCCATAAGATTGATTTAATCAATTATTTGAGGTTTCTGAGGTGCGTCCACCCCGTCACTTAACTTGCTAAAGCAAGAGCAACTCCAGCTAGCTAAGGCTAGCTTTCGTGAATATTCAGAAGAATGGTAGGCAGGTTTGTTGGCGGTGGCCTGTTCATGAGTGGCCGTACTAAAAGCGGATGCTTCTCAAAAAAGACAATGTGTTCTATCTCCGCCCTTGAAAAAGCTATGTTCCATCCAGGAGCCTGCAAATTGCTAGTGTGTAGCTTTGCTAGGTCCAGGTTCATGTCGTCAAAATGATGAAGACGGTTTGATCGACATGGGTCCAAAAATCCCACCCGGAGCCCGCGCTTCATCCGCACTATCTCAAACGAAACCTATTGCAATATGTTCCACAAGAATTTTGTTTGGAGGCTCCGTAAGGAACCCGATCCTTCTAACTTCAAACAATGTTTACATGTTTGGGTGGAGGTGCAGAGCAGGTTGTGAAGGTGTCCAATTATCGCTGACGATGCGTGACGCTGCGTGACGCTGTTCGACGCTACGCGACGATGCGTGAGGCTGCGTGACGTTGTGTGACGATGCGTGACGATGCGTGACGCTGCGTGACGATACGTGCCGACGCGTGAGGAGACAGTTTGGATCTGGTGTCCACCCAGAGGATCGATTGCTTCCCTTTGGGGCGCGTTTTGTTGTTTGGCAGCATCCAGCTTCTTTTGTCTTGCCGATGCTTGTTTGTTGCCCCTGTTGCCCTGGAGGAACCTGTCTCTAGTAACTTAGATTTTTAGCCGGCTAATTATCTGTTATTTTTTTAAAGGAGGCTCACTGAAGTCTCCTTTTGAAGGAGGCTCCTGTCTCCTGAAGTAAAAGGAGGCGCCTGGATTTGATTGACATGGGCGTCTCCTAATTTTATCAAACTTTTTGTCAGGAAGGAGGCCGTGTCTCCTACCCTGAAGGGAGTCATTGCGGTTTGCTGCTTGAGCTATTAAATTTCAAGTTATTCTCCCTCAGGAAGGGTGATGCGTGTCTCGGCGTGTCTCCTGCCTGAAGGGTGATCAATGTCTTAGCCTAGCCTAGGCTGTAGACTTCCTGGGCCTGCCCCGGTGCCACCAGTCGTGCCTGTCGACGCCAGCCCCGCCCCGAAGGCGTCAGCAGAAAAAAAAAGCGGCCTCTGAACCGTACTGCCGCATCTGCAAACAGGTCGCCTACAAGGGGAAGTCGGAATGTCTCAACAAAGAATGCGTGCCCCGGCTTTCATATTTTTGACCCGCGCGTTCTTTTAAAGTAAGTGTTGATAATCTGATAACAGTTTCCACTGCGGGTCTGAACTCAGATCCTCGATTCAGGAGCTGTGGCAGGCTTGGCACCAGCCCAAACGACACAAGGCAAACAAGGGGAAGAAGAGACCGGTGTGGTATGCGCACACCAAAGCTGCCCACGCCGCTGACGACAACGACGATGACAATGATCCAGGTCCAGCTGACACGTATTGGCCCTTGTGGTGAGGAGGCGGCCACTGGGGCGACTGGCACGACGATGGACATCGTGGTTCATCCTGGTCCTAGTCGTCGTCATGGCCACGTGGCAGGTGGGGCTGGATTTGGACGAGCAGCTAGACTCAGACTGCGACATGGCACTGCCAGGCGGGTGTTTAAAAAGGAGCGTTGTTGCGTGCTGCTGGGGGGCTCGTCGAGGTGTCAACGACCCAGGAGCAAGGAGGCTGGACTCCTGTCTCCATTCAGAGAGCAAGGAGGCTGGTCCTGTCTCGCTCGAACACTTTCCGGCCTCCAAAAAGTTTTCATATTATGTCAGACTCCTAGCCTATCATAATCATCACAATGCTGACGATAAGGAGTTTAACTAAGTATGAGCTTATTTCTGAAGGAAGCCTTTGGGCTCCTACGTGTAGCCCTGACTGTGAAGGACACTCCTACACAGGTGAAGAATCTATGGGCTCCGACAAAAACAATTCAAGCGAAGGAAGGTCAAGCAGTCTCCTGCGCATGGAAACCTCAGAGAAGAGAAGGAGGTACGCCTTCAAACGAAAACTGCAACGAAGCAAGCTCAAGGTTGCATGATAAAACATTAGTCTCAATCAAAGGAGATAGAAATGGGGCCTCCGCAATCTCCTAGACACAGGAGGCGGCTGTCAAGACGCAGGTCGCAGCCAGTCTCCTAGTCAAAGGAGGTGTCAGGAGTTCAACTCACACTTGGCTGGTGAAGGACGGCATTTGTCCAAGGACAGCCTCCTCATCAGAATTCAACAGCCATGCTTGCACACTTGCAATTCAATTTGTTTCCCTTGTCGCTTCGCTTGCTCAAAAAAGACTGGCCAGGGAAGACTTTCACTCCGTAGTGCAGGATATTTGCAGCCATGCCGTCTTCAACAGTGATCAAAGACACTGTGAAGAAGGAGCCGGCAGAGAGGACTACTACCAAGGACAGTGACAGCTTTCCTGTGAATGCTGATGCCTTGCAGAAATTGTCCACTCACGGCCTCTTTGCGAAGTGGGGTAATTGAAAAATCAAAAATGGCTCGCCTTTCAAGCACAAGGCGCGAACTCTGGCCAGAAAGATCCAAAAAGAGCTCATCCGGCGTGGCGAAGTAGAAGATGACGATGCCTCGACGCTGACTGAGGGAAGTTGGTGCGGGGTGGACACGTCATAATTAATTAATTTAGCCTCATGATCCTGAGCCACACCGAGTTTTCACCCGGAAGTGGCACTAGTGCTTTGATAGCTGTCTTGCGAGAAAAAATTTGGGAGCGCAGACGGCGTTGGAGGTAACGGCTTCCAAGTCACTCAGAGCGGTCGTGCTTCGCTGAATGACGGTTAGTTTTCTTATAGTGTGTGAGTTTCCGCTGCAGACTGGCTCTTCGAGGCATCCAGGGACGGTCATGGCTCTGGCTGCCAAAATCGTGCCTGATGTGGCTCTAGTGTCGCCGTCTTCGGAGCAATTGGCGGATCGTGGGCGGCATTGCAAAGCTTCAGGCACTTGCTCTGAGTGCGCTTGGCTGCGCTTGGAGGAAACATTTTCCTTGGCTGCGGGCCGGTTATGTAGGCAAAAGTAATACCTTGACAGTGGGGTGCAAAGACTGTGCGTTGCATAGTGCGAAATACAAACGAGCAGGAAGTGATGCTCAGCTTTCCGCCTACGTTACTTTTTCTCTTCAGCCCGAGACTACTTGGAAACATGGAGATTTCGGCATCACGCTACCTCCAAGTACCACATAGCCGCCAAGGCTGGAGATGCAGCTTCTCATGCCCCTGGTGCAGATGAGTGGCAAGACCTCGTGCGCAAGCTCAATCAGGGACATTCGGAGCACGACAAGACTGATGGAACACCTTCTTCTCGAACAAAGCTGATGCACTATTGCCTCAGCGAACCCATCTTGCACTGTTATCGCGTTTTCCTGGCCACTGCCCAAGGCATTACGTTGATGAGGGATGTGTCTCGACGATGTAGTTAGCTTCATTTTCACTCACCCCTTTTCAACTTTAGGAGATAAGAGTCATTTAACTCACGTTTTCCCAACCGCACCTAGGCACGGCAAACGTCTTTTGATTAGATTTCGCGCTGTGGACGCAAAGCTGCAAGTTTGCAGCGGCTGCATTGGACAGCCTCGGCTGCTTGAAGGAAAGACTTCCGAGCACATAGCAGCTGCTACTGTGAAGGCTGTGAAGCTCTTTTGCACACCTGCTTCGGAGGGTCGTTGGACGAAGCATTGCTCAAGCACATCCGACAGACCGTTCACATCATGGTGACAGACGCAGCATCGCCTGAAATCCTAGCCAATGACATGCTCAGAAACAGGCGACGACCCGATCACAATGAACTGCTAGACCCATTTTTCCCAAACCTGTTGCTGCTTGGCCGTGATGCCAGCCACGCCTGCATGAGGCTGATCAAACGTCCATGGCACGTCATGAATGAGGTGAAAGATGTTGTCGGCAGCACAATCACCGATTCGGAGTCTGTGGCCGTGGCCCAGAAGATCTTCCACTCCCCCAACTATTCCTTTTGGCTGCAGGAAGCCATCGACAGAGGCTCAGGCCCTCAGACCAGCAGCTTATCAGCAGCGAAGCATCGCTTCGCATCGTTTGCAAAGCCAATGGGCAGGTTCATTCTCAATCTGCAGCCAATGTTCGAGGTGCTGCACGGCTTTGAAAGACGAATGCGGTTGGTTGCACATGCATGTGGATGGATTCGGATGCCGTGTCGGGGCGACGGTTGCTCCTGCTCGCGGCAGCCGCTGATGCAGCTGACACAGTCATGGAGTTCTTGAGGCTGATGGACAATGAAGACCAAGATCCTCTGTTATTTTGAATTCCGAAGTCCATAGTTTTCTGAGCAATGTGGACGTCCAGTTCGGAAGACCAGGGCAAGTTTTCGACATCAATGGCTATAGCAAGCATTGCTTAAATGTTTTGCAATCAGAGCCTGGACTATATGTGAAGCACCGGGGGCAACAGAAAAGACTCAGGGTGTCTGCTGCAGATCGCTCTGCCGGACTCTGCCGTCCTGCAGGCCTTCAAGCCATGGGTGCGCCTCTGCCATGAGGCTTGCGAAGCAGAGTTTCCTCATTTTCATTTGTTTTCCTCCATGGGCGTCTTATATAGATCTTCGCTCTGACGCACGGCGCACAGATGAGAGATATGCCTGTCTTCAGCGCTTGGCTGCGGCATTGCATGTTGATGAGCAAGGGCTTGTCTCTGAGTTTGAAGCTCTTCAGCCAGTCGCCATGTCGTTCCGTCGCCAGCAGGATTGCACTAGCCGAGGTGCGTGGAAACAAGCTTTGAAAAGAAGCCAAGCGTCTTCGGCACTAAAGCAAAAATATGAGACAAAGAACTTGGCTTCGTTGCTTCGAGCGCACGCATGCTGGACCACATCTAGCTCTGGGGTGGAGCAGGCCTTTTCCAAGGCTCAGAGGAGCCAGGGAGCGAAACATCCTTTCTTTGCGCTTTGGTTTTGCCCGTTCCTTACCATCTGATCGGCGGCGCTTCACGGGCGGCTCGGCAATCTCATCTGTCTGGCGGACCAGGCATACTTCCTGCAACCTTGCGAGCTGAGTCTTGATGCTGCTGCTCAAGTCCGTCCTGAATGGCGCATGCCGCATGTTCGTGAGCGTGTTGCGCAGGATTCCAGCACTCAGCTTTGGATTCTTACCAAACTTGTTGAGGATCGCTTGGCGCACCCGGTCGTGATTGAACAACACTGCTGTCTTCGTCCACCCAATTAGGTTGAACTTCAGGAAGGCCATGCACGACAACACAGTGAAGTGAGCGACGCTCAGCCGACGAACCTCCCTGCAGAAAACGCCAGTAAACATGACCACATCCTTTCCGTGGCCACCGTTCCTGTCTGGGATGATAGGCCAGCTGCATGTAACTGTAAGGACACATGCCAGGACTGCCAGAAACCCAAGAATCGCCAGCCCCGCCTCAACTTCCTGTAGCCCCTTCACGTTTTTGTTCCAAATTTTGGGCTTCAAGCCTACTACTTGAACAGCCATTCCAGGCGGTCTGGCGCGCATGCCGGCCACAGGACTCGCTTGACCTCTTTTGAAGTGCCAGTCACTTTCCGTGCAACTTCATGAGAATACAACTTGCTGATGGCTGCAAGAGTTTTGATGAAAGTGATGCGGCAGCGCATGGGGGCCGATGGGTCAATGTTATCCAGGATTGCTCTGGAGCGTGCAACGCCAATGGACCGGGTCAAGATACTGGCACGCATCCGTTCTTCTTCACTCTTCACTGGAAAGGCTTGGTGGTGAAGCGCCTCGGAAGAATGGACCCCACGGTGTTGAACCTAAGCTCTCGTCTGTTTGGTTGATGCGGTTCAACACATGCCGGAGAACTTTGGATCCTGGCGACCTTTTGCCCCACTGAGCATATTCGTAAACGATAGCCAAGTGGACTTGATCAAGCGACCGACATTCAAGATTTGGGCACACCGTCTTCAATCCCGAATATAACTTCGACGAAGGTGAGTCTGTTGATACATACTTATTAATCTGCATCAAGGCTCTTGGCGAAAAGGAAGATTCAAAAACTTCTCGCAGAAAGTGCATCTTCGCTTCCAATGGCTTGCATTGCTAGCACAGCACCCGTTCGCCTGCGGACTGTCAAGATCCGTCGCAAAGCTCTACCGTCTCCAAAGCAAGCGGCGTTGCGGATCTGTGATGATGTGCGGTAGGCGGCTTGTCCCTGCAGAGTCATGCACAATTTCAAGGTCCCATCAATGGACAGCGCTTCAAACTCACCATCTTCCTCAAGGGTGTCGAACATCCTTCGCCTCAACCCTTTGACATCATCTGGCCGCAAAATGTCCTCAACTAACGGCCACCAGTGCCGTGTGTGGGTTGAGTACAGGTTGCACAGTGCATTGCCTGACTCCATTGCTCGCAGGTGTAGCCGAGGAAAATTGCTCTTCACCTGGCACTGCGGATGTGTGCAAAGTTCAAAGCTGTTTTGTTAGTTTCGCGGTCAATTTCATGCAGTGGCGCACTCTCCACAGCACATGAGTAAAATTGAAACTAAATCCGGAACAAGACACGTTTGAGTGATGGAGAACAACTTCCCTGAAGAGAACTTGTGCGAAAGAGTGATCATAATAGACGTTCAGGACACGTCGAACTCCCATGGCCATGAGCGAAGCTTTGTTCACGTAGCGTGGCCCATCCGCTGAAACCAAAAGCCTGATGAGCTTGTCGACGTAACGAAATAATACCCAAAGGACCCTCTATCATATATATATATATTATAGGATCTACACACAAATGTATACAAATGTAATCAAATGTATACATATATGTAACATGTACATATGATATATATTACTACAGTATATCTATTGTACATGTTTGTTCTGCTATTGGCTGCCCATGCTCCTCTGAATGCCTTTCTCGCTCGTCAACTCTTTCTATCAATCTGACGCCACATGCATCCACATGCATCATACTGCATTCTGAGATTCGGAAGCATTCTGCAATTCTGTGTGTGAGCCAAACAAGAAGATCCGCACAACCAAACCCCCAAGACCCTCCTATGCTTCTTCCTCGTCACACCCTCCCATCCGCATCCCCGACCTGGAAGAGGTGGAGCGAGCCATGGCTCCAGAAGGAGGACACCTCTCCACCAGTGGTGCCACCGGTGCAGGTGGGGAAGATGATCGGAGATGGCATGTTGGATCATTTGGGGAGCTTCTCTGTTCACCATTTTGTCACTCTAAGCAATGCGTTTTCCTGACGTAGGGGCACTGCTGAAGACCAAGACATCTGCTCCAACAACCCCGCCAGCCTGGCCTCATGGGCTCTCCAACTACAGGCCAGGATCGCGCAAGCAAAAGCCACCTCTGGCAGTTCCGAATTCTTCACAACAGGTCACAATCTATCCCATACACTCCATGTATGGAATATATTGCCTACATTGGGATGGTTTTGGGGGTCAATGTAGGCATATATTATATGGCATACATGGAGTGTTTGTCTATGGACTTGGAGGTCTTTGTAATTCTACGTTTACTCCTAGCCTCCCTCTACATGACTCCCTGCCACATGAGCATGTGTCAAACTGGACAAATATAGAGCAACGTGTTGGTTGGCCAGGTGCCCAGGACTTGCTTCCTTGAGGTATTTGAAGGGCTTGACTGCGAAACAATCATCAACTACGGGAGTGAGTTGACACCGGCTGTGCTGGAGCAGCTTCCCCCAGAACCGAGTATGGTATAGTATGGTAACAATCAGGGGCCCTGAAACTTGCCACACTGAGAGCCAATGAATTTTGTGGCCTGGAGGAACCAAGTTCAAACAAGTTCAGGAATTCCCAGTACACTCCAAGTGACGTTCCACGGTTCCGTGGATGGCACCACCACCTGTTGGGGTCGTGTTGGGTCTTCAGAGTTCATGGCCCTCCAAAAATCAAAGCCTAAGCCAGGCCTTGTTGCATCCTCGAATCCTCGAGTCTTCCGCATCGCCCCGATTGCGCCCTGTGATGCGCATCATGCACAACTTCATGCCCATGTGTTCTGGATCTACACACATGTCTACCCTCTGGAATGATGTAGACCAGCTTGATGAGATGATCTTCCCTTTGCACCAGCCCAGCTCCGCCTTGAGCACCGTCCGCAGCGCTCTTCCCAGTTGGGCCTCGAAAAAGCACTGTCGAGGGGTCGGATCCTCAAAAGGGAGTGGAAATGCCGCGAGGTCAATCCAAAAGTCTCCAAAAAGGTCCCTTCTCAAATGGAATGATTCTACAACACGACTTTCTGTGCATGTGTATGTAACGGTTGATAGAGTATAAACAGGAGCCATCAGGAGCCTAGAGAGAACAAAACTCATCGTGAGTCCAGTCCGAACCTCAACCCTCCCACCATGCCCGAGGTGGTCGAACGTGCAGTGGCAAAAACGTGGTGGTTGAGAACTCGTCTCGTCGTGTGAGTCGTGGGAACTCGCCGCTGGAGTGTGTCCTTCCGATTCCATGGCCCTTTGTCTTTACACTCTCACCCCATCCACTGCGAGTCCGATCCTTCTGGGGGCCGAAGTGGGTCAGACATGGTCAGAGTGTCTAGCAGTTTCGTGGCGTCCCCCTTTGGAGACCAAGGTGCCTCCAGCGTGCTCAGCAGGAGGGCCAGGCAGGGTGTGAACAAACAAAGGCTTGGGATGTACACCTTGGTTCCGCGGTCAGCGTCCAACATCCTTCAGAAACACAGCATATCTTGGTGTTGCCACTGCGTGAGCTGTCACATGCATCAACGATGTGCTCTTTCAATGAGCAACTTGGACTCAAGTTCTGTCAAGGGCTTTAGTAACTCCCTATAGCCTATAGCTCGTTGAATGGAAAAATGTGGATGCCCCCGACCCTTAGTCACTGCCCCCCTGGGCACCAGTAGTGCTTTTCATGGAGCTCATCATGCAATCTGGTGGTCCCATCATGTCACATCAGACTGCACGTCGGGCTACCCCTTGATTCTGATCTTCGGATGAAGGTTGTTGCATCAGTGAGATGCAACCACTGAAAACCCCGAACCCATTGGCCTCATATGGCCTGTGAACCGGACGGCGAACCGAGCGAACCTGAAGAACATCTGGAAATGGTTGGACAATGCTGGACATGTTGTCCAGGATGGGTGAAAGGTTTCCAGCTAGCAATGGCTTTCAGGCTAGCAATGGCTTCATCCAAAGCTACTGAGACCCAGTAGGTCTGACTGCGTTGAAGGGATGTATCTGGGTCCTAGTGTTCATGTTCAACGTGAGGACATGTTGCTGAAGTATAGCATGCTGAATATTGAGGTTCCACAGTGGGCCAATGGCCCAAGTTGAGTGCAACAGTCCGGACGGTCCGGGCGTAGCGGTCTGCAGCCAAAGCCCAAACCTAGGCAAAACCAAAGGAGCCACGGTAGGAACCAGGACACCCTAGTAGCTTCTTGCTACTATTGGCAATGGCCTCCACCCTAGTAGCGATGGCCTGCAACCTAATAGCGATGGCCTCCATCTAGTAGCTATGTTAGTCAAAAGAAAAACCATCCAAAGGGTGAGTCTTACAAACCACCCGAACGGTGTGCTGGAGAAGTGCAACCAAATGAATGTACGGGCTTTGCAGTGGGTACAGGTACATCCAGCACAAGCTGGTCGGGTTCGTTCCCCTGCTGTTGAGCAGAAGGCCATGCAGTCTGAAACACGTGCCCGGGCCGCGAATCACACTCTCCAGCTATATCTCAGAATGGCGGCCCCAGGTGATGAATGAAAGAATGTCAGACTATGGTGGAACATAGCGCTGATGTAGGCCTTGCCGCTTTTAATTGCGCTGTCCACGCAGTATGTCAGGTAGCTGTTTGATTCCACCACGCTACAAACACGTCGCAATGATTCGACAAAATCTCTGGAACACCTGGGGTGAGGCCGCTACGGTAGGCCTCCTTTAATTCGCTCCCGTTGCTGTTCCCTAGAAGTCCAAGCGCTACCCACATCTCACAGGTGTTTGAACCCCATTTGCCCATCATATCCCCACTGACTGATGCCCCGTGGGGCAATTGCATGGCGAACACACATCACGAAAACCACGACTCGGACGTCTTTGATTGGCTCCGTATTGGCTCCCTGGCATGGCTTGATGCCACGGTCCTTAGCGAAAAGAAGGGGTGCAGCCAGCTGTCACAACTTTGTCAAATTTCTCAAGAATCCCTGGCCTGGGTGCTCTTTTGCTCGTTTATTCTAGGTAAGTTGTAGTGGGTGACTTATGCCCTTGAATGCCGGCAAAAGCGGGCCAGGTTGCATTGAATCACACAGGCCTCATGCATGCCTCATGCATAATAACTATAGACTATAACTGTAACTGAATCACATATAACATGATACTGTATAGTTATATACACATTTCTTTGCGAACATCGAGGATCAGCTTGAGCAAAGTTCTCCCTACTCGAACAAGGCTGTCAACATGTAGGGCTGGGATCTGCAAGCAGCCTGATGACGTTTGCCAAGCCCACGACTACTTACAGCGTTTCTTCAATGAGAAAGGGACGCCGTCACCAACTCGAAGCCACGACGTTGTCGCGCCGTCACCGGGCCGCAGGAGCCACGGACTGTTTCGACCTGCACCGGTACCCGTGACTGCCCCATCTCGCACATATCCCAAACACGACTAATGGGACGGCCATAGGACTGCCGCCCCATTGACCCAAACCACCCCAAGGTAGGCATATATGGCAGTCCCTTTAGTCGTGTCTGGGTATTGGTGCCCCGTCTTTACGTGCGTTTCTCTCCGCATTCGTCAGCACAGCCACGGCGCTGTGCTGTGGTGAGACGACGTGTGCTTCGTCCGTCGCGACGATGCTTGGCGTGGCAGGCACCGTGCGACGAAGAATTCTCCAGTGCGTCGATTGCAGGTAAACAGAAGTAAAACCCAAATGAGGGTGGAAAAAAGAGGTGACAAGGGGTGTTTGCCAAACCATCTTCAAGATTTGGGCCAAGCAAATGGACGGGAGCAGGCTATCTGAATATATAAAAATACATTTGCAGAATGTCAAGCCCAAACTTTTGGTTTGGATCTGCAGCCATGCTATGAAATCAATTTGGTGATCCAACAGTGGATAGCAGCTTGGCTCGCTGCATTTTATGTTCCTTTTTTGCACAAGCTGGACTAAGTTATTTATACTGCCAAGCAGTTTTGGTTCAGAATGAAAAGGCTGTTACCCAAAAAGGAAATGTCACCGTAACCAAAGCTTGAGCACTGACCGTAATTCACACATGTATAGAGAAAAAAAAATGACAGAAAGAGCTAATGGATTTGTACAGATTTCCTGACTTTAGCATGTTCTATTCAATCCAGCTTGGGGGCCTAAATATCTGGACATCTGCACCCGATGCACCAACGGCCGCAATTCGGCCGTGAGATCGACCACCACCCCCTTTAGCTTGGGCAATCCAAGCACGAAAAAGCTTCTCCAGCTCGGTGTGCTTGGTCAGAATTCTCAACATACGTAAGCAACAACTACTCATACAAAAGACAAGGTGCTTCGCTCCAAACTTCTGGCATCGCTGCATTTATTTCAGCCGGAGATCTCACCGACCGCTGAAGTGACCATGACCTTGACACTACATGGCCGCGTACATCATAATCTTATGGACCGGTGGCCTATTCTAGAAGAAAACAAACAATATCTCCAAATAGAAGATTTGAGCGTTTGATAAAACATATGGAGTTAACACAGAAACAGAAGATAGCCGAAGATAGCCACAAAGAAAGCAGGGAAATCAAAGACGCATCAAATAGGAGATCATTTCAAGACCGGACTCCACTTCACCCCTTCTCCTGTTCCTCAGCGGCGCGGCGACTGGTTCGGTCGCCGCCGCGCGCACCATTTCACCATGTCCTATCTCCTTCTTTCTGGCGCATTGATCTATCGCAGCGTGAGCGTTGATCTTCTATTCATTTTGCTGTTTGTGCGGATTTCTTCGAAACTCCGGTGCCGTGGTCTACATCTTCACAACCCAACATCCTCTACAAGCTAAGCTACGCGGTTACGTCGTCGTCTAGATGCGGTTACGTTCGCATCCTCCTGGCTAGGGTGGGGTGTATTTCCTAATGGCTACCAAAAATCGATGCAATCACCTCTTGGAACTGAGCAAATGATCTTTAGAAGCATTGCGAAGCCCATCTGAACGCCCATCATCCGCACCTTCAAGCCGAGGTTTCAAGCAAATCCCTTTCCTAAAGAAGCGGACTCAAAGGGCCAAATTTTTAGTGCTTGGCAAGGCCTTGTAGGTTCCTGGAAGTCTTTTACTACCTTATGGTGCATTTCTCAACATCTTTGCATGGGGGTGGCTTGTTTTACGAGGATTCTGGACCAGCTGAAGCCACTTCGTAGCTTCAAAAATGCGACTGGTCAGCGGTTTTTGTGCACTGTCTCACCGGGGGTCGCCGACATTACGTATCTGCGCCAAGCGCCGCCGAGCCGTCGTACTGTGCGTTTCTGGAGGCAAATCATGAGCCCAAATCTATGGATATGAAATGAATACCCTGCATGAAGTAACAACCCCTGATAAGGTTGATAAGGCCCAAGTTCATGACCCCTGACCGGGGTTGATTAAGCTTTAATCTCACCTGGAAATTGCGTATGGGTCATGAGTGCATACCTGTAGCCCAAAACCTGCTGGTTTGTTTGCTCAACTGCGAGTACTCACACCAAATTCATACCTGGAGTCTGGACATATCTCTAAAATAGTCATCCACCTCACGACACATAGCACGTATGTCATCATACGTCCCAATGAACAGGGCACATGATGGCACATGTATTCGTTCAAGCAGTTCCATAAGAACCCAAAGAGTGCCAAATAGGTACACATGAATTTCACGGCTGCACTCAACAGCTTTGAGTGCCCGTGTTAAGTCACACCGTATGATCAATCACATGATTGCTGACCCTCGGGGGCGCATCTCACGGGCCGGACTGGGCAAAAGGCTCCACGCATGTCAATTGCATACGCTACATGGGCAAAAAAACATGGAACAGGATCAATTGGGGTAGTTGACAATGAGGGTTCTTATGTAAAAATACCTTACCTGTAATTACGTAATGTATCACTTGCGGGTGACATACCCACTCTGTAATTAGGCTTCACCCTGCTTCACGGGCCTTGGGGCAACTTGGTATCTGTATCTTGGGGCAACTGTGCAACTCAGTTTAGGGAGGTCGAACCACCATGAACATATCATATATGAGATAAGTATAGATAAGTTATATACTTTAATATTTAGTCTCAATGACTTGACTTTGACTCATTTGCGCGGAGAGATCCGCTGGCGGCCTTTTGTGCGCGGGTGGCGGCCCTCTGTGAAGCTGCTAGCTCTCAGCACAGGTGAGGCCAATCTGGGATCTTGGACGAGTCTCAGGCGCAGAAAGCGTACAGTTGCTGGACAACACGCAACACCTCACAACCCTGCGCATACACCGCAAGGTGGCATTGCCGGTGGAACCACAGATTGAACCAATGGCTGTAGCAGGTCTCGCTGACTTGACCAACAAATCAATGCTCCCTGGAGGCCCGATGAATGAATGAATGAATGAATGAATCAATCAATCAATCAATCATACGCTTGACGGGCCTGTTCATGCAAGAACTGCTCGTTCAATTGATCTCTATAAGTCAAATTCAAACACAACATGAAAGAACTACAGTAGATATGTTGTTCCATGATGCCAATTGACATCAATTGATGGTCCCTATGCTAGCACCGTCCTGCCAGTCCTGTCATTCCACGGGTTTCACCTATCTTCTCACCTCTGGAATCGATGGTGTTATCAGTCCTTCCAAGGCTCTGAAATGCTCACCTTGTCGGGGGGATTGACATCTGGGGATGGGTCTTGACCCACCATGTTCGTCGGACTGATCGTTCACATGTGCCGCGAACGACCTATCAGGTAGATCAACCCGCCACAAAGCTCTTGATGAGGTGCCCATACCTGTAATTCACCCATGAATTAGTTCATTCGCTTCTTGACATCGTGCCTCGCGGATATTCAGTCTGTATAGTTGTGTAGCACAGAGCCATCTTCTTGTGCAGGGTCATTACCACATGCCCCGGCCACCCTGTTGAACAGAAGGGCCCTGGGGTGCGCGTTCAAACAGTCGCAAGTATAGTATTGCCTGTAGATCAACCAAGGTATCCTAGTGTTCACCCACATCCGAATCTGGGATGGCCCCTGAAGCTGTGGTGAGGATTCATTGTGCAGTCTGGACATCAATCATCATCAATTTGATCCCAAGCCCTTGTGGCTCGCCCAAGGCTTTTCAGCCTGCTGATCTCATTTTCGGTCGCAGGCGGTGACCCTGATGGATGGTTGTTGGATCACTGATTCAGCACTTGACCCCAAAGACGGCTCCAATGGATCAGGCTAGCTCAAAAGAGGCTAGCGAACCGTCCCATTCAACCCCAAAACGCTTTCTCCGGAGGTCCTAGAAATAAGCATGGAAGTGGACAACCACCTATTCCTAGAGGAAAATTGTTAAAAATGGTCATCCAAGGGGGGGCCATGCCATCCATTTCCATTATTTTAGGGAGTGGAACATTTTAGCGCAATGCGATGCGACCCTTCTACTTCAGGGGCAAGATAAGACAAGAATGGCATCAATGGTCAAGCACATTGTGAGGAGTAATTGGAGCATGAATAAGCATGATGTCCTATAAAATGCCAAACTTGGCAAACAATCATCAAAACTATAATATAAAATGGGGTAAGTGGATTCTGAGCATTCCACACCAAAAATTGCACAAAAACCAGCAGGCCTATATAATGTCCATATCGGGTTCACCATAGAAAATTGATCAAAAAAAAAGCACTGTCTAAGAAATGCCCAGTGAGGATCCCACTGCCAAAAAAAGGGCGAACAGAAAGGCACAAATTCAGAAACTATAAAATGCCTCGCAACATCGCAGAACTTTGTCAAACATGGCCAAAGGTCCCCACTTAGAGGATAGGTCCCTAAAAGAGTCTCAGGTAAAAGATTTACCAGAAAGCCTGTGGCTGTGGGATAGCTTCAAGCTCGTAGAAATGGGGGAGGGCAGGCGCAAGGGCCCTAACGGCTGGATTGCCTGTGTCTACCTGCCAAGGGCCAACCAAGGCCAACCAAGAACAGCCCAGCAGGTGAAATCCAGCTAAGCGCAAAGCCTCCCTCCGAGCACTGAATGTCTTGAATGACTAGATGGTATGTTTTCCTATTACAGTAGTTGGACCATGTATGAACAGTTTGGCCTTGTTGGGTCCTGCACTCATCT